ACTTGGAGTCTCTCTCTGCAGCCCTGCTAGCAGTGTTCCCCTGCCCAAAGCATGAGAAGTTCTTGAGTCCCCTCCACACATCTGTGATGTTGTTTTGTGCCAGCTGTTACTCTATTTTCTTCCATAGTCCTTCTTTGATTCCCTGATCCTCCATTGGAGCTCTCGCTGGGTTACTCCTGAGTTAAAAGCCCTTTTCTTCTGGTTCAGGAGGACTTGAAGCTCAGAACACCATGTTTTTTTTTTTTTTTTGGAAAAATGTGTCTGGTTGGGTTTTGTGTACAGTTTTGTTACATTAGGAATATTTTTTCATCAGGCATCAACACAGCCAACCCTTTACGGCTGCATTGCCAGTGAGCTGCTGACTCGCTATAAGTCACCAAATCCCTTTATGGTTTGCATCAGAGTGATTCAAATCTCTCCAAGAGCTGGCCTTGGAATTAGACTGGATCGGACAAGGACGACATGCTGCTCCCTCCTCCCGTCCACTGAATCAACACATAGTAAAGGTTCTCTAGCTTGGGCGGGTGTAATTTGTTCAGTTTTGTATGCGTTTAATTGAAACTCTTGTTTTTTTAAGTTGATGGTTTTACATGCAAAGCTTCTGAACGGAAGGCAGGTTTCAGAAAGTGTGTTTGTGTGAATGAGAGTGTGAATGGCTGCTATTGTATTTTTTCTTTTTTTTTTCTTTCTTTCTCTTTTAAAGTGCTAAGGTAACCTGTTATCATTGTGAGCCCTTTTTGATCCCTCATTGTGGTTACGTGGTGTTGGGGTGGCCATTTTGTTTTATAAACCATTGTGTGTCCCCGCATTGTTAGTCCCACCATTTCCCTTTGGGTCATATCATAGGAGCAGCTATCTTGTGAGCTATATGACCCATTGTGCTCCCCAGTATTGTTAACCCCACTTACTTTGATAATATGGTTTAGAGTAGTAATTTCCAACCAGTGTGCCATGGCACGCTATTGTCCTGTGAGAGATAGTCAGTTGTGCCTTGGTAAATAATCAAATAACTCATACACTCATCTTCCAGATGTTGGCTACATATTACNATAATATGGTTTAGAGTAGTGATTTCCAACCAGTGTGCCACTGCACGCTATTGCGCTGTGAGAGATCGTCAGTTGTGCCTTGGTAAATAATCAAACATCACTTAGTTAACCATTCCCGGGTGTCTGTGCTTTAATTAAATGTGGCAGATAATGTAATGCTCTTCTATTTCAGTGGGTGGCAGCAGAATTTGATAATTGCCTCTTAAGACAATCGAGCGACAGACAGTTTGGGAGTTCAGCACAAGAGGAAGCGACAGTGATCAGGAAGTTTTTTAGAAGATAAAATGCAAATGCTGAACACGGCCCTGGACTAAATTCTGACCCAGATGATGGTCCTTGTATGAGGGGTTGACAAAAAAAAAAAAAAAAAAAAAAAAAAAAAAGAAAAGTCGGTGAGCGCAAGGCAATACAGCAAAAGCTCTCTTTCATTTGGATTTACTTTTATCAGGGATGAAAAAACACAGACTCTGCTGTGCATGGTGTATGGTGAGAACCTTCCCAACATTAATACTGCCAGCTTGTAAAGCTATTGTAAATTAGATCTTTGGTCCTGACACGGCCAAGGAGGTAGCTAAAGTGCCTGTGTTGGATGACGTTGTGCGCATACAGAAC